GAGACCGTAGAAAACGAGCGACTAGGCAGTGGGAAGAGGGCATAACAGCCGGGATGACGAATTGGGGGGGGGGGTCCCCACAGGGCACCTCAGCCCTGGACCACCAAAGCTGGCTCCCTCGGTGGTAGGAAGTGCCTGCCTGCTAACCACGGTGCTGCCTTTTGGCCACCTAAGGAACAGAGTCTCTGCATTCCTGGGGACACTAAACGCCCTCCACCCCCCTCGCCTCCACCTGTACCAGGTTACTTCCCTCTGTCATGACTATGGAGTTCTGCCTCTGCCCCCTGTTTATCTGTCCCTTGGCATCAGAAACTGGAACCTTCCAAACACCCCACCAGTGTGGGTCCTCTCGCCTTCCCACGGCCACATTCAAAGTCCAGTCCTGCCGCCGCCTCCCCCCACAGGCCTCAGGGAGTGCCGGCCGCCTCGCTCCCAGTCCTGACCTCGCACCCCACTCCCACCCCGTCACCCCTCACCGCTGCCCGGGACTGCCCAGCACCCAGATGGCCACCGCGAGCACTTCAAGTATCACCCCCACCTTGCCGAGCCCTGCCCCTCTCGCGGCACCAGCTGGAGCTGTGACAGGCAGGCCTGCACCCGTTCTCCACCTCAGTTTGGATGTCGCTGATTAACAACGTGTGACAGCACGGGCCGGCCTCGCTTTAAATTCATAACCGTGATTCTCCAACATTCTCGTTACATTCCTTTTCCCGCTCTCCAAACGACCATTTCAAGATGCCCTCCTCCGTACACGGACCTCCCCAAGACCTCTCCCGTTTCCTGAAGAAAGCACGCTATCAGGATCAGAGCTCCTTGGGAGTCTCTTTCCACGTGGCAAATCAGATCACTTCATTCTTCTGCTTGAAATTCTACCAGGATTTCCCTCAATACTTAAATCCAAACTTAACCCTGGCCACGTGTGACCGTCAACTCTGCCTCCCCACATCATTCTGGAGCACTTCTGTTCTTCGATCCTCTAGCCACACCTCACTTTTCGCTGTTTGTGACCAGAGCTTGCTTCCGCCCCTGGGCCTCTGCGCCAGCTCTCCTGCGCCCGAAGAGTGGGCTCTGGCTCACGCCTACCCACCCATGCTCCCAACCCCTGCATCACAGACGGGGAGTCTTGGCTCAAACTGCCTCAGAAAGGCCCACCTCCTCGACCACCAGACCGTCTTCCCCCAGGACGCACAGCTCCCTGACCCTGTATCTAAGGTCAGTCACCGCCACACCATAAAGCTCCGAGGGCGGCCGGGACCAGCACTCAGAGCAGCACCCGAGTCCGTTCCTCATCTTACCTCCGAACACAGGCTTGCTCTCGGGCGCGCTCGCCACACTGAAGGCAAAGGGTGTGCTCTGGCTGGGTGCGCCCAACGTGCTCTGACTCAAGCCTCCTCCGAAAGGCGTCGTGCCGCCAGCGGTCCCGCTCTGTCCTGTGCCGAAGCTGAACGCTCCAGAAGCAGAGCTGGTGCCGGGGGTGGCCGCGTTGATCCCGAAGCCCCCGCCGCCGGCCGGGCCGGCCGAGCCCCCAAACGTGAAA